GGGGGGTTAGTTAGGGTTAGTTAGGGTCCATTAAAATGCTCAAATCAAAAAATTAAACATACAGTCCAACACATTACCACCTGTCTTTGTTGAAATATCTCTGCAGATACACTCCTTTGATCTTCTTTCTTTGGTGATCTGCAGCTCAGTGTGTTTAATTTGTTTAACCAACTTTATTGGTTCCTCAGGTTACTATTAGTGAAAATATACTCACTCTGAATTACTGCTTCAAAGACTTTGTGGGCATTTGTCTTAGATCTGTCTCTATGTCGGTGCACCTCCCCAGGTAAAGGAGACCTGATTGGTTCGGACTCCCTGACGAAGGAGCAGGTGATCAAGACCAACGCCAACGTCAAGGCCCTGACCTACTGCGACCTGCAGTACATCAGCCTCAAGGGCCTCCGTGAAGTCCTGCGACTCTACCCCGAGTACGCCCAGAAGTTCATCAGCGAGATACAGCATGACCTCACGTACAATCTGCGAGAGGGCCACGGGGCTGATGTGAGTACACACAGTAACATAGACCAGTGGTTCACAGCCTTTCTCCTTACGGTACTCTAAGCTGACGACTCCTGACTAAGTGACATGTTTTATGGAGTTTGAGTGAAACGATCAATTTGGATGAATTTTGAGCAGATTATTTACTGTGAAAACGTCTAATACAATTCTCTTCCTGTTTTATTATTTATTATTTTTAACAATCATATATACTTAATGGGCTTCTTCTTGGACAAATTCAGTATTTTCTTCTCCCTGCCATTTAGCCATTGTTCTGTTATCTGCAACTGAAGGCTCTGTGAATATAGCTTGTGTACATAAATTCCATACGTACATTTTAAAACTATTTAATTTAGATTTCTTCACATAATTGAACCAAATGCTGAGATATAGCCCTACTGTATAAATTTAAAAAATGTTGCACCCCTTAAAATTAAGACTGCTTCACGACCCCCACATGAAGCTTTGGTGACCCCTAGTGGCGGTCCCAATCCGCAGGTTGGGAACCAATGGAGTAGGGTGAGAGAGTTGTGAATGAATTGTTTGTGCTTTTACATGTTTATATGTTTGCAAACCCTCCAATTGCCCCTCAAGGCAGGGGTTCCCAAACGTTTTCATGTCAAAGACCCACAGTTAGACTGACCCCATGTGGGCCACAGGCTAATGGGGTTGTTGGATTTTCTCAAACGTTGTGTCAGAAAGTGAAAATTAGATGACGAAGGCAAAATTTTAACAAAAGATTTCAGTTTTATTTAGAAAATCTGTCTTAATATAAATATCAACCTGACCTGAAAATGGTCCAGTAAACAGTTAGAGAAAGGTATGCATGTGGCATTAAGACTGTGTGTAGCTGGTGTATATTTATAAATGCATGTAGACATAATATTGCACAACTACAGTGGTGTTATGGTGCCACCATGACAAAAAGAATATTCTCTCAGTTTATCCTTATAACGAGAAATCTTTTCAAATTCTACAAATATTTGTTATTATGACATATTTTCTTGTTATTACCAGGCACCAAATTATTACATTTTTCCAAGAAACATTTCTTGTCAGAAATGCTGCTGTATACAACGCACCAGATCAGTCACAGCACTCCATGTGCAGCAGTAAAAAGTGCAGATTGTAGATTACATTTTATATAATGCTAATGGGTAGCCTGAGGACACACTCCTGTAAGAAAGGGCTCATGGATAAAAGATATACATGACCTCTCCACCACTGCTTAAAAATTCAAACACAGATTTGTGCACACATCACTCGACGAGCCAGGCCTTGAAGTGCTTTTTCTTAACTACTGCCATTGAACACACAAACACACAGCCTTTGCCTTTGGCTGGTGCAGCAGCAGCAGAGGGAGCAAAACATAAGGACAAGAATAGCTTAGTGCTGCTGTTTGAAGCTGTCCTGTTGCTAAAAATAGTGCAGGGGGGAAGCACGGGCTGTCCCTGACTGGCTGAGTCCCCCGCAGCTGCTGCTAAGATTGGATCCTGCTCGATATAAATAGCCCAGCCAGCCGAGGAGGAGGAGGAGAGACGAAGGGGAGGAGAGGGGGGGACTCATCTCATTTTCTGTTTCACTCTTCCTCAAGTCCTCCTTTCCCACTGCAGAGCTGTTTGTTTCTCCGAGGCACTTACTGCAGAGCACGAGTGGGTATGCAAATGTGCAAACGTGTGCACATATCAGCGTGTGTCTGCAGCAGTACCTAGAGGATGCACAAGCTGCTGCCCATATCTTAGGTCAGGGTTGCAGATGTCCTTCCTGGTTATGTATGCAAAACCCCTCTGAAACTAGGAGCCCAGGAGAGTGTGTTTGCATATGTATGTATGAAAAGACTGCTGGTATCTAGCACCTCCTAGCTCAGTAAACAGATGCTTAAAGAGGTTCTCTGATAGGATGAATAATGATATGATCAGCAACAGAATAACATTTCGGCCAGTGTAGACTTGATAAAATAAATACAAAAAGGATAAAAAAGAGGGAGGGGGAACATGTTTTTAATGTTTTTTACCAGGCAAGGAAGAAGATTTGGTCAGAAAAAAATGAGGAAGAAAAAGATCCATCATCTAAGTGGTGGTTGCATTCTCAGTGTCCTGCTGATTCACAGGCTGCAGACTGACTGTCATGACCCAGGAGGCTAAACAATGCTATGTGCAACAGCAACCAGTCAACTGGGCGCACTGAGCTGCTGCGGGAAGAGGGCGATATTACAATGTGATTTGTTTGTCTGCACCACAAACATGACTGGAAGAGCAACAATATTGCCTGCAACTGCACATACTCTACAAACACAAACCGCTCGCATACCCTGCACCAAAATGAGAAAAAGAGCACTTGTTAATTCTTGTCCTTTGCAAGCACACACACACATAGCTTGCATAAACCCGCACTCAGATGTCTGCATACAGCCCGGCTCGATCACACATACATGACACACATGCAAACTTCAGCACACCCACACAGGCGCACGCCGACACGCGGCAAGTGCACACTTATCACGCCCCCGCATCTCAGAGCCCTCCTTGGTTTCCTCCAGGGCTGGGAGCTAAGATTAGAACAAGAGAGCTAAAAATACATTACGATAGCACATGGGGGGAGGAGGTATAGAGGAGGGCAGTGGGGAGGGAGATTTTAAAAAAAAGAGAGTATGCTGTGCAGGCAGGGGGTGAGGGGAATGAGAGACTTGATTAAAGGGAGAGGAGAGGGAGTGAGGCTGAGAGAGCAGGGGAAAGGCAGAGTGGAGGGGCGTTGGCTTGTCTGCACGGTGAGATATACAATACAGTCATTTGTCACTGCAGCAGTGTATGTTAGGGCATGAGTGATGATATTAAGAAGCTGGAAGAGGAGAATGTGCAGTCATCACTTAGTAGATGTAATGAATTACTTTGATCGTGTAAGTCAGAATCAGAATCAGAATCAGAAATACTTTAATAATCCCCGTGGGGAAATTACTTAAAGTGAAGTGAAGTCAGACCCAGTTTCAGTGTATTTTAAAAACAGTGCATCTGGAGGAAGACTCAATCTTATTTTTCGATCATTTGAAACTTAGTCCCCCCTCCAGTCATAAATCAGATGTTTTCACATTCATCTGCTGAAAGTGGAAAGTTTCTTTGTGCTCATTGAAAATCTGATTTTAAGGGGCGGGGCCTACCAGCAGGATTTGTGACATCACAAATAGTCAGGAAGTCAGTCCTGGTCCAGTATGCAACTTGTACAGTGTGATGTAGAAACTTGGAGCCACCAGTGCACATCCACTGACAATGGACTTTACAGCTGAGAATGGCTTTCAGTGAAGCTTAGAGATCATCTTTGGTCAGCAGCCAACTTAGAAATTCACAACATTTTTAATGAGGCAGAAGGAGGATATTACTCTTTAAGGGTGTAAAATATCTTTTTTGTAAGAAAATTATTGTATTGTTATAGCAATATTGATATATGTCTAGAATAAATGTCTGGAGGGGTCATTAAATATGAAAATCATGACAACTGATCCATCGAGGCTGAAGCCATTTAAGTTCCCAGGTTAATGTATTATTATCATGATTACCATTCAATCCTGGCAAGTGTGGAAGGACCATTATAGAGAGATACATGTCTACTAAATATTAGAACTATAACCTGACAGTTAACATGATCAATGAAAATTCTTTAAATGTACTTTTGAATTTGAATATTTTGATATGCACACCTGCAGTGACTGCAGTGAATGTTGGCACATTTACTGTGTTGACTTAGTCCTCATTTTCTTAAGTGCATTGTCCTTTTTTAAATAACTAAACTTCAAACTTCCAATATCCAAATATATGCAGACTTTTAGCTGCTTACTGCTACACGCCTATGAGGGGTTTTAGGGACAGTCGCCAACAGTCTATTTACTAAAGTCACTCCATACACTCTACCACACAAGATCCACGCAATTCTGTCTAGAGATTGTAAAATGTTTTCTTTTCTGCTCCTGTTTTCACAGGCAGCTTTGCTGTTAGTTTTATCACAGACTTATTAACTCACACATGTTCTCGGGCTGGAGTCTGTTTGTTTAGCTAGTCATTCTGGAAGTTTAGCGGACCCAGCATCGGACACTGAAGTTCAGCCTAATTATTCATCCATAAGCAGTGACATAGTGGGATGGGAAAGGGAAGTTTGTGACTGCAGGGTGAGTTTTGGGATGTGGTGTTGTGTGTGTGTGTGTGTGGCTCAAGGAGAAGAGTGATGAGGAAAAGACATGACACAGGCAGTTGTATTAAATGTAGCTGACAAGTTCTTTTGCCAGTGCTGCAAAACAATAGTTCACGTCAATAAAATGAGAAAAATTGGGACTTTAACTAGCTCCTATAAAATTTCGCCATGACTCCTTTGTTCTTTTACGACTTAATCCCTCGAGGGTGACAGGAGAGTTTGGTACCATGAGCTCAGACTCTTGATGGTGCTGTGTTGCATTTGAAACTTTTAGCAGCCAGTTTACAATAGTACCTGTATCAGTCCGACGCACAGTTATCCACTTTTCTCTTCATTTTATTTCATGGCAATATGTTTCCTCTTCATATGTCAATAACACAAACAGTTTGCAGTGCAAGAAGAAATATCATACAATAATACTAGTGTTAAATATAAAAGATAAAGCATGAGATACAGGACCGTTAAAAAATAAGGGTATAGTCACAAAAAGTTAGAAAATTATCTAAATTTTCACCTGAGGTCTTTGCACTTAATTTTCCTATGTAAAGGTATTAAAAACAGCAGTAAGCGATAATCAGGGACAGGAAAACAGAAGGCAACTCCCCCCCCCTCACTCTCTACCTTTTGATGACTTGCTTTTTTTACCTCCTTCTTTTCTTTCTTGCGTTATTACATTTAACCTTACAACGCTAACATTCTCGCACCACACCAACTAAATGTGATCTTCCCTACTCAGTACCTCCTCTAATTACTCAACCTCAATATCTGCCTGTATTTTTGTTTTTTGTTATTACTATAGTTTTAATCTATTTATTACTGATTATTTATTAGATGTTACCCTAGTTGCTATCATTGTTTCTCTGTTGCCTTGTCATGTCTCTTATTTGTTCCTGTCCATATTAATCACACATCTTGCACTATTAATTAAAAACCAAAGAAATCATGCCATTAGGGGGTATATCCAATTAATTGAGATATTGGATTGTGTCGGATTTGAAGCCAACTCATTATCTTCAAACTATACATAGTATATAATTTGACAAAACTATATAAACACAACAAAGGTTTTTACCATATCACTCAGCTCTTATGTGTGGTTTCTTTTTGTAATATTTTCCAAATAAAATAAAGAGGTTCAAAACAGCCTTTTACAATCAACATTCTTCTAAAATGTTCCAGTGATGAACGAAAAGGAGCTCAAAAGATATTAAAACAGAAATATGATCATTTATGAAGCTTGTGTCTCCATAAATACTCTGTTAGAAGAGGGGATAGAGGGGGTAGAACTAAAGCGGTGCCAGTACAGTCTATCATTCCAGTTCACTGGTAGAAAAGGTACAAAAGCTTGTGATTGTCTGCCACCCGCTGGTACAACCATGTCACTGCACTTAATTTACCTACTGATTTGATTTGATATCTATCTATCTATCTCAGGTGGACTGGGAAAGCAACGGCGGCCTGGTGAAGAAGCTGCCGTCCATCCGTGAGGACGAGGAGGGCGACGAGGAGCAGAACTCTGTGTCCCGTGCACCTCGCTCCCCGCTGCGTCTCAGCAGGGGCCTCAACTCGCCCCTGCGCTCCCCTCTTCTGCCGCCCAGGCCGTTCCGCGCTCCCTCTGAGCACCCCCGGCCGACCACCCTGCAAATACCAGTAGTCAGCTTCAGCAGCGCGCCGCCTGAGCTCAGCCCCAGGTAACACACACACAGATCACACACACACGTAGCTGAAAAGGAAGGAGCAGCTGAGTATGAACAGTAATTAGAAAGATGAAGGAGGCAGTTCAGAACACAACCTTGCAGCCAGAGGAGCGACTGCATTAACAGCATAGGTGTCTGGCTGCCATGGTAACCAGTAGGATACAGTGCAGGTGGATCACATGGGTCCTGGCGGTTGGAGGGTGAATAGGTTTTCACACTGTAGCAGGATGGTGTGTGTACATGGAAAGCAAACGTGTCCGTGTGTGCACAGAGATTAATGATCCTGCCCACTGTGCAGTGGTGTGTGAGCAGAAGCTGCTGATAGAGGGAATTTAATGTTTCAATGAAGATACTGTACAGCCAGCACAGATACATTCTGTAATTAGCACTCTTTCAGTCTTCCCCTCTGATTTACAATCCTCTCTTTACTTTTAATCCCTCTTTTGCATAGGTTCGTGGACGGCATCGAAACAGAGAGCAATTCCACCTCATCGCAGAAGTTCGAGTTCAGTCCCAGCCTGTCACCTACAGTGCCCCCCTCCCCATACCCAGGTAACACACACACACACACACACACGCACACAACAATAGTGTTTGCCTCTTTCTCTCTCAGAAGAACAGCAGTTTCTGGGGGATTAATGTTGATGTTTGTGTTGTGTGCAGGGCTCCGGGAGCACTCTGAGATCAAGCACAGTGTGTCTAAATTGACTGAGGAGGTGAGTGCCGACTCCATGTTGTTGATCATGATGTCTGTTTACACATTTAGTACAAGGCTCTAATTATCATCTCCACAAAGGAGCTTTGTTTGTTTGTCTGTCAGAATATTTCACCAACTGTAACAGCTTGCATTGCAATAAGGCCTTTTTCACATAGTAGGAGAAGCACAGGTGTAAAAAATAAAATGAATGATGGCTAAATTCCATTTAGCTGTTACAGGGTCATGGTTTCCACACATTTGGAAAATGTGGAAAACCTGTATATATATTTGAAATATTCTCTTGTCCTGTACATTTTTTTTTTTAAATAAAGTTTAGAGCTGTTCACCACCAACTTTTAACATCAAATCTATTTTGGAAATGCTGCCGACGGTCACATCTACAAGCATACAGACCATTATTGTTTAAATTTACATTGGTTGTTGTGCTTCATAACTGTTTTTTGTACATGCAACAGACACTTATACCTCTTCTTTTAGGTGAGAAGATTAATTTTCTGTAAAATGAAAGAAATTCTACTTGATTTAAACTATTATTTATGGGCTCTGGCTCATTAATCTTATGGTTAGAGGAAAACTGTAGCTCTGCTCACCTGAGGCCACAGCGAAAAAAACGGCCTTGGTGAGAACAGCCAGGCGCGTCACGAAAGTGTCGAATAAATGCTGACCACCATTTTGAGCAAGTGCTGTCCTGTATTTTCAAGAAGAACGCCTGGTAAAGGATTTGTTAAAAATAGTGGGAACCCTGAGGGCCCTTCATGCTGGCTGACTGTCACACTGTCAGGACTTTCTGAGACACTTTAATAGAACGGCGCAATTGTTAATGTTATTAGTAAAACCTGTCATTGTCCTACTGTGACAAGTCAAAATGCCTATTTGGAGGAAATTTAGGAAATGGGCTTAGAATTTATTTTTCTTTCTATAGTCCCATTTATGCCTGAAAATATTGTCCCTCATTCATCCAGTCTTCTCCACATTTAGCACTGCACTAAAATATATTTATATGAGCCCAAATAATGTGTTAATTAACATTTCTAACCCTTCCTAAGTCCCGCCCCTTTGTGCTCTCTGCTCCAATAAGAGCTGAGCAAGCTGTGGTTAGAACCTCAGTCAACTTTCTCCTTTCCTGGACTCAGATATGCTGTGTGCTAGGCTAATCTGTGCTAAAAAACCAACCACATTGTGAAGATAAAAGCCACATCTTAAGTTAACTAACTAGTTAAAACACTAGCTAACTAGCAAGCAAATATATATAAATTGTTAGGAACCACACACCATAACACATAGCATATCTAATGGTACATGTCCACAGGCTTTTTTTTGCATGCAAGAGGTGGATGCTTGTAGTCACAAAACGCTCCACCCTCCTACAACCACGCAAACACAACGCTGAGTGGTTCCAGGATTTCAGAACGGACCAACATGGTGGCTTGTAACCGTTCACCCAGATGTGTTTCTGAAAACATTTTAAGCAATAGACATAGACAAGACATAAGCCATGCAGCTGCTAAATCTGTCATATATTTTAGAAAGAAAAGTTAGCTTAAACATCAGGTTTCCAGAGGCGACCAGTCACAATATCAGACGACCCTGACTTGCATAAAGTAGCATAGACCTTGACTTTCTGCAAATGAGGAGTGGGCAACATAAAGCCCCATCTCTTAAAACACACCATGGCACTACCATACAATGAATGAATGAATGAATGAATGAATGAATGAATATGTGTGGGAATGACTGCTCCTGTGGGCACAGGAGAGGAGAAAGATGACCCTGGTTCCGCCAGCTACTGCTTTTAAAACGACTTAAACATACTACAAGGAGTTTTAAACTGGTTCTGAAACAGTCTCAGAATATAATATATAATATAATTATTCTTAATGCCTGCCACTGAAATCAATGAAACAAGCCGGTAGAGACATACTGCCATACCCATCATTACAACTACTAAGTTCAAATTAAACTGTTAATTAACTGTAAAAAATGCAGCAAGCACTTTGAAGTGGACTGACAGCGTAGTGTAGTGACTGTTTTCTCCTGTGACAAACACAGCAACACATTTTAGAAAAGAGAAGAAAATGTATTTGCTGAATTCAAAGCAATGTTTCAGGACACCATCAGCCAATCAGCATCCCAGTCTCTCATCACTATGTATGTGATGTCACGGCTCCAGCTCCAGATGCAATTGAACAGACTTAGAGGGATTGTGTTCTGTGAGCACGCAGCATGTACCCTATAGTCTAAATAAATAAATAAATGATGCTGTATCGGACTGTGCTTTACACAAATGAGGATTAACTTCAGCCTCTGCCTGTCTGCCTTTATACACGACTTGCATGGCTTTCATCTGGTTCTGTGCTGAGTGTTTACTCTGTGTCTCTCCTCACCGTACAGATGAACGGTCTCTCCAAACAAGTGTCCAAGCTCAGTCAGGAGCTGCAGGAAATGACACGCCTGCTCAAGCCCCTCCTCCAAATAGCATCGCCACCAATCCTGACCACCATGATGCCAAATCTGACCCCACCCCCAAGCAGTGCCAGCCAGCTCTCAACAAGCTCCTGTCTCGTGTTGCCCCCCCCTGCCACATCCTGTCCCCTGCAGAGACCTGACACTCATTCACTGTTGGACAGTGGAGACATAGAGGGTGTGGATTTGCCAGGATGCCTTCTCCCGACTCCTCATTCACCAAAAAGGCCTAATTCATCATCTTCAGCATCGCCACAGACCCCGCCGGGGGGCAACTTCAAGGCCCACGTCCGGTCCAACCTCCCGTCGCCCGAGGAAGGACTTCCTGAGGGATCCCCGGTCCTCCAAAGCCTCCACGCATCCTCCAGCAACGGGATATTTTTGCCCTCGCTGCAGGACCAGCCCCCCCTGGCCTCTCACACCCCTTCACCTTCCCTCTCATTCTCCATGTCCCTCTCCTCCTCGCCGTCCCTCTCCCCCTGCCAGGGCCCCCACCTGTCCCGACCCGGCAGCTGTGCCAGCAGAGGCCTGCTTCCCCCGCCTCCCTCCCAGGACACCCCTCCTCCTCCGTCCTCCCACTGCTCTGCTCCCCCGTCGCTCACGTCCTCCCTCGGAGACCTTCAGCTGAGGGCTTCCCCTTCCGTCCCCCTTGTGTCCCCAGCAGTCTCTCTCCACCCCTCCACCCACTCCCTGCCCTTGTCTCTGGACTTTGTTAGTGATCGCAGAGGGCAGGGAGACACCCACACTCCACCATGGTGTAAGTCGCAGCTGCGCTACCGGGAGGCCAGACCTGTCTCTCACCCCCAGGAGCTGGAGATGCAGGAGTGGGGACGGCAGGTGGACGAGGGGAAGACCTCCACAGAGCACATCAGCTTCATCGATGAAGAGGAGCCACCGTTATGAAGAAGGGATGACAGAGTAGCAGAGAACGAAAGGGACAGAAAAACAAGACCAGATCAGGGTTAGTGACTGCTGGATCACAGAATGATAACCAGTGGGAAACCAGTTCACACAGGAAGTGATTTGTCAGGCAGGAAATGCTAAAAGGACAGACAGGTACAGAAACACAACGCCAGCTGTCAGCACATCAGCGTGAAGGAGTACTTTCCTTCACACAACTACAACAGCACAAATTGTCTTACAGTCTGAACACTTCAGTAGCATCAGTCGCTCCCTGCAGCGACTGGGACACACAGGACCAGAGCACATCTTTTAAACCGGTTCCATAGATCTCTGCAGCCAAATTTAGCTCTTTCCAGCTAACCAAACACACAATATTGCTTTTTAAACCCAGCTACGGATGTCTCTGTAAAGGGCAGGTACAAGCACACACATATCTCAGCGAGAAACATGTCTTTACCCAAGCCAGATAATCCGAGCCACCGCACTGGGACCGGGAATGTAAACTGTCTCAGTGACATCAGGGTCACCTCACCTGGAAAGCCAGCTTGCGTCATCAATGAGAATTATTTTTTAAAGAGATAAGGTTATCTGCCTCTGGGCTGGTCAGAGGTAAACACTCAGCTGACATCCAACCATCTCTTCACATACACGGCCATCACATCAAAAAAACCCTTGGAATTGGTTTTAACTTCCAACAGAAATGTCCACATTTTCTCTTTGAAGTGCACAGTCTAGTCAGCAGATGTAAAGGAGCAGAAAGGCTTCTGTTTGAGTGTGGACCTAATGGTACGTGTCCACAAAACACTTCTGGATCTCTTATAGTCCTATTGACCCAGAAAAGTCATGCAAACACTTCCTGGCTGCACCTCATTGGACGAATGCTTTCTGCTCTGGCATTTCAAACAGGACCTACCATAGGCCATATATAATTAGTGAAGCCATTGCAGAGGTTTCTTAAGTCTGCATTCTCTCTAATGGCCAGCAGGGGGCAGCTCCATTGGTTGCAAAAGAAGTCAAAAGATAGTATTGAGTTATGGAGAAGTGAGCCTACAGCTCACTTGATTTCTGAGCTCAGTAAACAGTTTCCTGAGGGGTTTAATCCAGTCTCAGTCTCCGGCGCTAGTTCATCTTCTTCATACACAGATGAACTACGTCGTTCATTTTAGCTAACTGATGGTCCATTCTAGACGTCGGAGAGTGCACAGACCAACTGACCGAGCTACTCTTCTTGGGCAGCTCGTCCTCGGTTTCACTCCCCACAAACTCCACCCCTGGCTAATCATGTGTTCTGCCAAAAATCTAATGGTATCACTTCTCCTCATATTAATCCAAATACTTAACCAAAATGTGTTTCTGAAAATATTTTAAGCAAGAAATAACCCATGCAGTCTTCATTTTAGACGGTTAGTTTGAAAGATTTTTGTGAGTTTCCAGAGGCAGTGGGTCACGCTGCTGGATGTCCCTGATTTGCATAAAGTATCCTTGATCTCAGCTTTATGCAATGAGAAACAGCAACATGGCGCCTGGTCTCTCGAAACGCACCACGGCACTACCAGAATGCATTGCACGCCTGCTCATGTAGACAATGAATGAAAATTGTGATAATGACTGATCCTGTGAACACGTACCATTAACGTCAGAGCTTAGCAGTTGAGCTGTGTGCCAAAGACAAAAAGCAAGCTGTATGGAAAAAGTGGGGGGGGCAGTAATACAATACACAAAACCCATATATAACTGTTCATCACCATGACTGTTTACAACCAGCCTATCAGATTGTACAGCAAACTCCCACATCACTCCTGAGCTTTAGCCATCCAGCCATTCGTGCCTTCTCCATATAAAGACTTCCCTGAAGTCCGTCACCTGTTCACAGGCAAGCATTTGGATAAAAATTTACATAGAAAGCCATCAGCATCACCTGCAGAGAACACTTGCACCTTTTATCTAAAATGTTACCAATTTATTTATTTAGGCTATTTATTTTGGTTGATGAAGGCAATGAGGAAATATATCTGGGTGATCTGACAGGAACAGGCTGGGGAGGAAGGTTTACCGTCCAACAACAGAACTGGATGCACTCCAGACTGAGTGCAACCCTCCTAGTTCTTATGTAGCGCGCGCACACACACAGACACACACAAAGACACAGACACACACACACACACACACACCTAACCTCTCAGCTGACCACTGATCTTTACGCCGGTACGAGACAACAGCTGAACCCTAACTACAATACCCAGGCTGCGTCGCTATGGAGGTCTCAGGACTTCTGTACTTTTTGTTTTTTGCTTCGGTGAGGTGCTTTGTGCACCATGTTACTTGTAATATAGACAGTCAGATTTCTGGTTTCTATTTTCTGTAAGGGGAGCAGGGGACTGGACTCTTTCCACACTGAAATACAAAGATTCACTGAGCAGAACTCCCACTGATGTCTGCGGAGCTCTGAACCTGTGGGGTACCCTGGGGTGGGGTATAGGGTGGGCGTGGGCGGTATATTGGGTACACAAAAGGGTTTTAAATCAAATGCATGTCACAACTTTTTTTGCATGAGGAATGTGCCTGCTTTTGAGCTGTAGAGGGCGGAGGGACAAGCTGCCCGCCCTACTGGAGGCTGCTGGTTTTCAGATGTTTTATTAAAGACTGCTGTTACATAAAAACTTTACAACAATAAAGAAGTGTTGTTTTGTAAGATCTCAGACTCCTGTGCTGCATTGTCATGTCAGTGTGCATTTCTTTGCCACTGTATTTTCTTCTTTGTGTTTGGAAGGGGAGGGTGAGGCGAGAGAGCTGCGATCTGCAACTACCCCACTAGTTGCCACTAAATCCTACACACCGGACCTTTCATTTGCAAACTTGATACGTTCAAAATACTACAAATATTTGAATTAAAATACATAAACTGAAATCACTGAAATGTAACTTAAAATAAGTTCAGACTTTGCTGTAATATCTGTAGTGTGCACATACATCCATGATTAGCTACAGCTCAGAATGAAGCTGCCTCTTGCGTGAACTGTCTGTAGCTGAATACAGTTTTACGCTTTTTACTTTTTTATCCAGATTGTTAGAAGTGTGTTGTAGAATTGGGAAATATCAATGTTAAGTGTTAAAAACATTTATTTTAGTAGGGGGGTTATTTTATTATCACTTTAACTCAGTGGTAAAATGTTCAATGCTCAAACAGGGCAGACAAATAAAGTTGTGATTACAACTTTATTTGTTTATTTGAGGCTGAACCCCACAGTCCCACACGCTTTAATTGTAACTGTACTTGTACCTTCCAAGCAGAAATAAGACGCAACACAGAGGAAATCCTTCTTCAGGTCTGCATATATTTTCAATGGTAACATTCATTCTATCAGTTTGAGTAAGGTTTGAAATGTCAGGGAACAACACTCTAGAAATATCCTGATGGGAGAAGAAATGATATTGATAGAGGGATGAAACACAATGTAGCACTTGCTTCTGCTGCTGTGGATGCACCTAGTGCCTTACCCTCCAGGGGCCAGTCTCTGATTGTTCTTTCTTTATTCCCTAATATCCCCTCTGTCCTTGCTCACTTCTCAGAACGTGTCAGAGGAACGAAACCCACAAGCTTTCATTTATCCCTTTCAACACACACAGACTGCAGAGAATGCAGAAACAGCAACAGGCACGATTCAGTAGAGAGGTGAGGACAGCGTGCATCCTCTCATCTCTGGTTTTCTGTGTACTCATGCCTGTTGTTTAGTAACCGGGCAGGTCAGAGTAAGCACTCTGGAACTACGTTTCCCATTGGGATCATAAGGATGTTGGACAGAAGTGACGGGCTCCAGCGCACGCAGAACCACAGGGGTGAGGAAAAAATAAATCAGGGGAATTACATTTCCTCCTCTACAGACTATAGACCATGATCACAGTCAGATACATACTCGTCTCAGACTGGATTCACCCTACTGTACCAAGAATCATGGTTCACAGAGAATGAATGAAAACAAACAGAGGGGTCAGGGGAAAATAAAAATCCAAAAATATATATTTATGTTATATTTATATATATTTATATATTTACGAGGTATGTATCCACAAAAAAGAAAACACCCAAAATTTCAAAATAGGCAGTCTGTGTTTTTCCAAATGTGTCCTTTCTTTGTGATGCCTTAAGGAAAACATTAATATTAATTAAAAATTTAAAAAATAAAACTGGGAAGCTTTGCTGTCCAACAGCCGTGCTCTTGTGTCAAACCTCGTAGTCCGGTTCTCTGAGACCAGAATCTCCAGCTATCGGGAGTCCAAAAGCACCAAAGTGGCGCTGGTGTCAGTCTGCTGCACTCCAAAAAAACAAAAGATCACAAATCACAAAGTCCCAAAAGAAAAAAAGAATCACTTCATTGTTGAAAAAGACAAACAAGAGAACCCCTCCTAACCGTTGATTTCCCAACAACCCACGGTCTCAGAGTCTCCACGGTGACGTTTGAGGCGGTGGTATTGGGTGGTGGGTGGGAGGTGAAGGGAGGCCGGCCACAGGTCCAAAAAAAAGGTGTCTTTGTGCAACGAAACAAGCCTCGAGATTAAACAAAACAAGAAACAAAAGAACCGATGGCAGGTGTCCTCCCGGCGATTGTTAGTTAGGCTGGCAGTAGGGGATCTCTCTCCTCTGTAGTCATGCTAGGTACTGCTGCATCGCCGTCTTCGCCCTAACGCAGACACACAGTCAGTCCACCCCGCTCAGCAGTTTCACAAAGTGTTTGATGACAATGGTGTGTGTTTTATGATGAACTGTTCTTACCCACCTGTCACTGAGGTTGGGGTCTGGGGCCTGGGTGAGTTTGTGCAGGATGTCAACAAAGCCCATCTCCCTCAGCTTGTCCTGGCGCTCCTGAGAACCTGAGAACACGTTACAGCAGAGAGGGAAACAGATTCATTTTAACGTCTGCATATATCGGCAAACACAAAGTCAATTTCAGCCCGGTGCTGAAAGGAACCAGGTCAGGTGTTCAGAATTCCAAAAAGGCCATAAATGGATTTTTTGTTTCTTTAAAGACCCCCTACTAATTTTTGACTGAAGGGGGACCTAAAAAATCTTTTGTGTTTTATAGTTAGAGTTCACTTTGCATCTAGAAGATCATCATCATCCAGAGCGGCAGACACATGATCTGGTGTACTGTAGAGCTCGTATTTACATTACTGCTCAACAACAGCACAAAACATAACTGTGGATGTGGTGTTTTGCACTGCTCTCGTCAATACACACACACACACACACACACACTCGCTGGCTTTGCTTGACCCGGTTTGACTCAGTCCAGCATGGGAGGGATTTGAATTTCAGTTAAAACAGGGCTCCACGCTTTAAAGTGCATCCTCAACTGAATGTCTCTTACCGTCCTCTTCATTCCAGATAAGGTTTGAGATGCAGAAGGTGGCGGCGAGCTGCAGTTTCACATTCGAATGCCCCTGCGGGAACAGCAAAAGTCAGGAAGATTACAAGCGAGGAAAACCAGAGCAAAGGCAGAGGTCACATGGTCTTACTACTGAAAAAAACCCCAGCAGCGTAGTAATCAGTTGGTACAACATACTGCTGCAACAACGCCAAACACATCCAATACACACAGAACAAGACTGAGCTACAGTAGATGTATTATATGTACAGTACCATGTAGTATTTGATTTTCTGGAGCATGTCGTCATTGGTCATAATGAGTTCCTTGGCTGTGTTGCCGTCGGCGATGTTGGCTAGGATGCACAGCGTCTTGACAGATAAGAAAAGTGAGTTACATCAGAGCTGATTCAGGAAACAATTCTGTATGATGTGCTTCCAGCTCTACAGCAGGACGGCCTATAATCACACCCGCAGAATGCTGACACTACTCTGCAGCTGGAGGATGAATCCTGTACCACAACCACTTGTGAGCGTGCTCACCTGTTCTTTGACCTCTATACTGTGCTCTGCTTCCAGGATGAGGGTCACGGCCTGCATGATCTGCTTCCCATGAGAACTCATGATCTGGTCAATGTGCTGGCAATATGAAGGGTGGAGAGTAAGCAGGAGAGTCAGTATGCACGCGTACAGCTCTGGGTTACATACACACACTGTGAGCCTGTTAGAGCTGGTATTAACATGCGTCTTGGGTGATCCAATCATAGGTAGACAGTTCTAAATACAACAACCACTTGCTTAGGCAGTCTGGGACGGATCTGACCACATATGTTTTGTGGTGTAAGTACTAATTAGAGTTGTTCTGATTCCGAT